CCCGACCTAATATTAGACTTAAAGTGAGTAATGTGATTATGTCCATTTGAATAAATTTTTTGATTTAAGAATGTAAAACTGTGTTTTAAAATATAAAAGAAAGGGGAGAAAAACCATCTTGTAGGCCCATTGTTTATTTAAATAGGAAAGAAAAACTATCTGAATTTTTAATTCTAATTTGAATAGGGAAAATTGTTTTTTTTTTTTATTAGGTCGGGCTTCGGGCCCAAGTTATAGGCCCGTTGGTTGGGCCGGGCTCGGGCTCGAGCCTAGCATATTTCCTTTAATGACAAGTGAAAGCCCCGCCTGAGCCCAGCCCGACCCATGAAGAGGTCTAGCTTGGACTTTGAACTTTTGGCCCTTACAAGCTTATCCAAATACCATCTTCACATGTTTATCCCTTGAAAGGCTTGTGATCAAGAATTGAAAAATAAGTAGATAGTTAAAACAAAAAAAATGGTAAAAGAATAAAATTAAAACATATAAACATTTTTTAGGGAAAATTCTCGATTAGAACCCTGCATTTTGGGCCTAGTGACACTTTGGTCCCCAAACTTTAAAATATGACAATTCGATATCCAAACTTTTCATAACATGCCAATCCAGTACTTTCCGTTAACCAATCCATTAATCAACTGTTAAGTGGCAATTGAAAAGACATAAATGCCCTTTGAATGTTATCTAATTCTCTTCAACAACCATCTAAATGTTAATAAAAAATGAACAGTCCCAAATCCTTGCCTCTTCTATTCAAGAAAGTTAGGGTCAACAAAATGCCTATTAGGACTGATTCTAATTTTCTTGAATTGAAGAGGCAAGAATTTAAGATTATTCATTTTTTATCAACGTTTGGATGATTGATAAAGAGAATTAAATGAGACTTGAAACGCATTTGTGTTTTTTAAAATGCTATTTAATAGGTAGTTAATGAATTGATTAATAACAGATACTGAATTGGCACATTATGAAAGTTCGGGTACTGAAACCAAAGTATCAGCAGGCCATAATTACAGAATACTGAATTATTTGGTACATTGAATTCAAGTTGTGAATCCATTCCATGACCCAAATAAAGTGAAAACAAATACAAAAGCAAAATTTCATAATTATTTATGATGGAAATTGAGGGTTGGGGCCACTAGGAGCCCCGTGGTATGGATTCGCAATCACATCTTTTGGGAATACATAGTATATCCAATTCTACAGACGCAGAGCCCATCGGGTATTGTTGGCAAATGGAAATCGTGAGTAATATAAGTACTGTTTTTTTTTTGGAAACTGGTGTTTATTTTGTGTTTGGAAATGATATTGTCATATAAGCTTTTTTTTGAAAAAATAATACTGGTTTTGTTTGATACTAATGCTGTAAAGTTATTTTCAGCATTGGTCTATATTATTCAATGTCTAAGACATTGTTTGGAATAATATATTTTTTTTGATAAAAAAATGATACTAAATAAGAGGCCGTTTTTTGAAGCACCACTTTTTTTGATGTACCGCTTATATGGTGCTGTTTTCTCAAAAAACAGCATTAATGCCAAACACCACAAAACTTCAGACTTGCAAATAATTCCAACTAGCTCTAGCCTGGAATTGCAAGCTAGACTTGTTGGCCCCAGAATCGCAAAGAGAGGCAGAGGGAGTTTCGATTGTTTGGAAGCTAGGGGTTGGCGAATAAGCCTGTGTGCACTATGATTGTAATCTGTACTGTTTTTTAAAAGATTTTTTCTCCTCTAAAACCCAAAACCCACGAACAAGGCAGAAACTGAATCATACAAATCTCTGTGCATACTTTGTGTTGTTCTGTTTTACATGTTTTTTTTCTGTTTTTCTACATGCCAATTGTTTATTTTGTTCGTTGGATTTTTAGTATGACAACATAGAAGATACATGAAGATCAAGGACCAAGATATATTCATAATTTTACTATACTAGGTTGTAATTTATAATAATTGATTTTGGGTTTGAATCGATTAGGAAAGACAATAACTGGAAGAAGTGGCTCAATTATTTAAGACCCGATCCATTGATAACCCTACATTTGATTTGATGAATTTCCGGATGTTTGTATTAATAACAATGACAACTTGTCGGTGAAATCTGAATCCAGTTGCCCTATTTGTGGAATTACACAGTGCAGTTGACTTCAAGTCGTAGCCGTTTCAAGTTCTATCTAGCTATGGGGGGTCAAGTTAATTTTGTAAATAATAAACAGGAAATGGGCTCCCATTCCCTAATAAATAGCCACAGACATACTGGAGCGATGGCCCATAAGGGTTACGCTTAAGGAGCTGCTATGCCCATCACTCATGTTCCCCTGATATCCATATTATATAGAGATTTTTTTTTTCTTCTTTGTAAAGAATATCCATATATTAAGATAAATTGGGATCAATTCCATACTAAAGGCTAGACCATTAAGAGGGAAAAGGCCAGATTATTCCAACTGCAAAACAGAACCGGCCATGCTTAAGGCCTATTTCTGATGAGGGAGCTACGTGGGTTAACCGGATAGGGCTTGTATTCTGTGCACAGAATCAAATTACAAATTGGCCAGTGCCATTGAGTAAGTTGGGTCAAAGATTTAACCGAACCGACCATTGATTGCCATGTGCCACCGGCCCACCGCCCCAGAATATTACTCTCATATTTAATTCCCACATCCCCAATTGGTTGGTTGCTCCCTCTGGGCTCTGGATCTGAGCTTTGGTCAGGCTTGTTGCTGGCTGCACATCGCACCACCCAGACCCAGCATGTCAAATCTTACTTCTTTTATGTCTATCTCTCCCTCTCGAAGCATCCTGGCCCAGCATCATTAAGACAGGTTACCAGACCTTTTAAATTATCAAGCTGACCGGGATACGTGGCTAAAAGCTAGCATCAGCCAGAAACCTCACGAACCCCCCCCACTCACATATTACATATTACGACGAGAACAGTAGTGAGAGCCAAAAAGTCTATTTAATGCGGCTAGTTTGATGACGTGTCGTACTATCAGAAACCCACGTGGTACAAAGCACACGCGTCAGCTTATCACCGTGATGTTAGGCAGATGATCAGATCTTCACTGCCCACAATGCAAAAAGATATGCAAAGATACCACAGACTGGTGCACTGGTGCAGTGTATATATATATATTATACGGATGCCAAATCACTCTCTGCTCTTCAAAGTTGGAAGTTGGAACTTGATATTTTGATAGTAGCGGCGAGCGGCGAGCGACGAGCGACGAGAGGGTGTTTCGTTTCCTGCCATCGAGCGGTTGTGTTGACTGTTGAGCATGAGCAGTCGATCAGAAGAGTAGACTAAAAGGAAATTAAGAGGTTATCTGGCGGAATCGGAATGGGTGCTCTGGATCATTTATCTGATCTTTTTTATTGCACTTCCCGCAGCAAGAAGAAGTTCAAGAATCGCAAGCAATTACAGGTACCGTTTGTCCTTAAGAGTTAAAACTAAGACCCCCTCCTCCCCCTCTGTTTTCCTTTGTTTGCTTAATTTAATCGTTTTTGTTCCATGGGAAATCAGACTGTGGAGATAAAGGTGAAGATGGACTGTGAGGGGTGCGAGAGGAAAGTGAAGAAGGCAGTAGAAGGGATGAAAGGTAAACTAATTGTTGAGATGATATTAGTGTATAAACCGTTTGATTAATTTGGAAGCTTAAAAACTAATTAATTAAGCGTGGGTGTGGTGGTGTTTGATGATCAGGGGTGACACAAGTAGAAGTAGAGCCAAAGCAAAGCAAGGTTACAGTGATAGGGTACGTAGAACCGAAGAAGGTACTGAAGCGAATACAAGCAACAGGGAAGAAGGCCGAGTTCTGGCCCTACGTCCCATACGATGTGGTGCCACATCCCTACGCACCTGGGGCCTACGACAAGAAGGCCCCACCAGGGTACGTGCGGAATGTTCTACAGGACCCTGTGGCTTCCAAGTTGGCACGTGCCAGCACCATGGAAGAGCGCTATTCCTCTGCCTTCAGCGACGATAACCCGAACTCCTGTGCCGTTATGTAAACCATAAAACCCTGTTCATCGTGTTTCGTATAGCCTAGACATTGATCAAAGATTAACTGCGGGTAATTAATAGCCTAATTCGGGGGGATGGTCTGTGTGTATGCATGATTGAATTGTATGTACTATGTGGAATGGATGATGATTTTGATATGTAGTTGGAACTTGGATGTTTGTTTCGGACGGTCCTGCTGGGCCGACTGTTTAGTTGTTTCATTTTTTCAATCACTGTGTTCTAGAGGGCTTGGTTTTCAGTTTGGATTTTTCAAACACTGTACTCTATCATGTTTAGTTGTTTCGTTTGTATGAATGAGATGAATCATTATTGCAATTCTGCATCAGCATTGTTGTGATTTGTGAATTTAACATGGACGAGAAATCGTTTTCGCGCGGTAGTGGACGACACCTGTCTCCGTCATGGTCTTACAGATTAATTTGTTTAAGGGAATAGTGTTCCTATTTACTTTTTAGGAGTTGGGATTTGGTTTATCTTCTTAATCAAAAATAAAAACCACCACAAATTAGTGGATGGATGGGAAAACCACAACAAAAGTATTTAATTCGGGTTGATTTGAGAGCTGGCCCAATTACAAAAGGGTGCGTATACTGTGGAGTTTCAATGTGCAATCAAAGTTTCGCACTCAAGAGTCAAGACCCATGAAACAGAGACTCTACAAGCCAAGGACAAGGACAAGGACAAGGACATACCATTCCTTTTCATGGGTCTCACCTTATCAGTAGGCAGTAGCGTCAAGAAATCATAGACCTGCACCTCCTTCGGTCCACTTGAATTTAACGATGAACTTTTCTATGAGGAGGATCAAGGATCGCTAATTAAGGAGACCTGCTGATCACATTACTATAATAAATCAAATATAATTCAACATCCACACCTTATTACAATAAAACCAGTAAAGTAACCTTTATTGGGGAGCCAGCCAATCTCAGCTTGGTTGGCCGGCCGGCCGGCCTCCTGATAACCACCACCAAGTCTTCTCTGGAAGTCTGAACTACCAACTAATTAATGATATCCAGCTAGGCGCAAACAATATCATCCATTTCACGACCCTCTTGAAGTTGATGAAGATTGCTGAACTGGGAGGATCCTCTCTCTGCTCCAGCTTCATTGACCGACCCTGACCCTGTAGAGGTCGACATCGCCGTGTGTGTTTGCTCTGTCTCCCTTTTCAGCGTCAAGTATATCAGCATTCCCATATAAAGAAACATTACTGGGAAAACCATGACCCCTGTAAATATTGAAGCAACTTTAGGAAGTCGGTTGCTCGACATCCAGTTCAACACGCTTGTCGCTAAGAAGTACATATTGATCCCAATCACACTAAACCCCAAAACCCATGAGATTATTGACACCTGTTACGTTGTAGTCGAAATTAACCACAAACCAAAGACAAAGGGGCGGGCCAAATACAATCACTATTAATGATATAATAATTAATTAAGGGTTTCAAAGCTGTTAATGTTAAAGCCGCCTCACCGTCAGGGAGTTCTTGTGGTGACCCATCTTGGTCTTGCTACTTGTGAACCTCAGTAGAGGAACCAATGCAAATGGAAGTTCGAAGGATAAGATCATCTGCGCATATATATATATATATATATATAACATAGAGAGACAGAGAGAGAGAGAGAAAGAAAGAAAGATGACCAATTAATAGAATTAATTAACAACCCATTCATTTAACATCTAATAAATTCTTGACGCTAAAGGGTTATGGGTATGGTTAGTTACAGAGGCGATGATGATAAGCTTCCCAGCTCCTGATGAACCCCCCACAATGGAGGCCACCAGACTCGGAGCAATGGCTATGCATCTCGTAAGTAGGTTCCTTATCCAGAGCTCCATTTTCAAGTCCAAAAACCCCTGTCAAACATCACAACTCACAACTCACTAAAGTGCTTCTTCCAAATATATAAATGCCTCTCTCTCTCTCTCTCTCTCTAGGTATAGATTATGGAAGGGGTACGTACCTGCATGATATATTGGCCAGCATAGGTTCCTGTGACTGTGGAACTCTGACCAGAGGCAAGCAAAGAGAGAGCGTATAGTCTGGAGCTCCATTTCCCAAGAGCATTCTGTAGAAACTCCATACCAAGTTAATGTTGAGTGTTTGGGTTAGAAAACGAAAGCTGATTACTTGCCAAAACAACAAGGATGATGACAGTGCGTGAGACCTTAAGCAAGAAAGCAGCGGAATTGAGGGTGATGTCCTCGCAATGGGTTTTGTTCTCCAAAGAAAGCCCAGGACTGTAGCAGACGCTACTGCTGACTGAGACCACGGAAACATTGATCAGAAATGCAACCAATAAGGCGATCCCTCCTTCTATGAGGAAGTGTCTGCATGCACTCTGGGATGGAGAAATTAATCCAATTAGAGATATGGGTATTAGCCATAGCTGTAATGTACTAAAAATTGAAAATTATTGATGGAGAATTTGTTGACTCACGTTGATGCCATTGAAAGAACGAGGGATTTTTCTGGAAGTAACTAATGCTGAATGAAGAAACAGGTTATGCCTGCAAATTGCAAGAATTAATAACAGCAATTATTATTGATACAAGAAAAATAAATAAATATATAAAACTACTCCTATGACCTATCCCTATAAAACTTACTCATTAAGTACAAATGAATGCAAATCAAGTAGGATTCAATTTCCTGAACAGTCTGAGTCTATATACTAATCTTGAATAAGGTTGACGGCCGACCAATGGAAGCTTGACTCTAGCATCTGTATAGTCTTTAAACCTTAAACCGAACTCAAGTTTATCAATTACAGAGCTAGGTAGGGATGTTGTTTGGGCAGAATCATGTCATATTCTTGGGCCTTATCTTGCTATTGCTAGGATTGATGTCCATTGTATTTATATTATACCCATAATCCACCTTGTATTGGATTATTAAAGGAATAAAGGGGCCCTCTCAATTGTGGCTAGGCCTAACCCAATAAGTCTCACCTTGGGTAGTCCTTATTGGCTAGTCCACAACCATCGTCTTGTGGACCCTCCGAAAATACCATTTTAACTGATACCACTTTCCTTGGGTGATCATAGAACGAAATAGAGACTGATGGAGATTTTGGACAAGCATTTTCTTTGAAGCAACAAACTGTTTTGTCTACTTCTATATCTAAACGTTGATTTTCATCCAATATACTAGGTGGGTTCACTTCCTAAAATATGTTATGCTATGTACCGCTCAACTTATAATAGTAATAGTGTTATCTGCATTAAATATAACCTCAAGTTCTTTGTTGGGTCCAAATAGAGAAAAATTGGAAATGGGTGGCCGACTGAATCTGAAATTGTATGGCCTACCATTTTAGGAGGCTAAACCTAAAAACAAACAGTGGGTCCATGGCCTTAGACATCGAAGTACAGTTAGGAGAATTACGGCATGATCAAGGCCCCAAGCAGAGCAACTGCATCTCGTGTGGCTCCATCACCCTTCAATTTGGGGACAAACATTCCCTTGACGATCTCCCTTGGATCAGGCTTGGCGTGTGCCATCACTCCGAAGAAGCAACCACCCATCATCAGCAACAGGACACCTATTGCAATTTCCAGTTTCCTTATCTGTAATTCAAGATTCAACCCATACTCCATCATGTATCAGAAAGCCCAACAGAGAACTAAAGCATGTGGACAACAACAAGGCCCACCATGTAAATTCACAAAAAATAATGATAATAATAATAATAATAATAATAATAATGGGCCCATGCTGATGTATTGGGAAAAATTGGGCCTCACAGAGTCCATAAAGAATTGGGGCCAGCATAGTTTAAACTTTAAACTTGAAATTTAACAGTTACTCACGCCAAATCTTTGCAGCCCAAGGAGGAGTAGAGTATTCAGTCCAGCAAGGAGGACACCACTCCAGATGGGTATGTTGAGAAGTATGTTGAGAGCGAAGGCCGTGCCGATCACTGTAACAATGCAATTAGACATCGGAAGTTAGAAACCAGAATTAATGGCAGAGGTAAAATACTATTGGCTTCAGTTTTGTTTATACTACAAAAGTACAAACCTTCTGGGATGTCAGCAGCGATGACTGCGATCTCAGCCAGGACCCAGAGGCAATAATTCACTGGCCTTGGGTATTCAGCTTTACAGTGCTCTGAGAGATGTTTCCCTATCCACAACCACAAACAAGCCACAGAAATGCACAAAGCCCTTAAAAGATTCAGGAATGTTTTGGTAAATAGGCAATGTGAGAATGTAGGTAGGGACTGACTGGAACAAAGTGGGCTAAGGCAACCTATCAAGAGTGAACACACCAGTGTTTCATGTTCCATACACATAAGGTGTGGGTCTCATGTGTATGAAACACTGGTTTGTTCACTCTTGATAGGCTAAAAGCTAAAAAATAAATAATAACATATGATAAACTATGATAGAATTTGCAAAAATATAAAAGTCTATAAGTAACAAATTCTAGGCTTTTAGCATTCAACAAAATAATAACTAATCAATTTACAACCATATACCTTTTATATTTTAAATTTCAAAATCCAAATTTCTCAAATTATTCAAATAATCTATCATATGTATTAAATCATCAAAACTTCCCATCATCAATGTTTCCATTTCTAATGAGAATTTCCATTCGATTTGACTAAAAATGAAGAAAGATTGATGAAGATTCTTTTTGGTCCTTGTTTCAACGAACTCTTCTAAAAACCTAGGAACTCTGTTTGATCTATTAGTTTTTCATATTAATCTTTTTTATTTGTCCCATAATTACCAAAGTGCCCTTCTCATATGATTTAAACTAAAAAAAAAAACTTTTTTTTTTTGCATCAAATAACTCAATTATCATAGGTTTTCAAGATTTCCGCCTTTCTAGCCACTTATGCCTTGAGGCTTAAGGCTGATTCCTCTTTCTAACAAAAGCTTAAACCTCAGGCCAAAGTTATGGACTCTGGATCTCCTGCCCACGAGAACCTGTCCACAATACACCGTCCCCCCATGAATTGGGAACATCTCCCCTGGCATAATACTATGCAGAGGGTGAGATGTTCTCCATGTGTGGCTGCGATGAATGTGGGCAGGAGATCCGGGCTCAAAGTTATGAGACTTGAACCTCGGAACAAATTTGATCGTGGTGCCTCAAGGAGCCGGATCTCCTGCACACAAAAACTCCATGTACATAACATCCAGCACCATGTATGTTAAATTCATGGGAAAATGTTCCCAGTGTGCGGCTGGATTCCGTCTGCAGAATTCTTACTTGCAGGGATTTCCGCCTTCTTAAGGCTTTTAAAAATCATATTGATAGGCTTCCAAGCCCACTTTGTTTCCAGCCCATCCAGACACTGGACCGAAATCGAGGGTGATATAAAGGTGGAAATAACATTAAAGTTAACTTTATAAGGGTGGAAATAACAATAGAGACCTGTGGCTACTCCTAGGTTTGCCGAGCGAGATTGGATTATCAAAGCAAAGCTCACCCCAACAAGTACGACCCATAGCAACTGTTTACACGCACATAATCGCAAAATTAAACACAAATGAACAAATGAATTAAGAGAGAGCCGATTATGATGACGATATAACCTCGTGTTTGTGATCAGCACCAGCTTGTAAATCCGTCTCCACTTTTGTTGCAAAAACAAAAAAAAAAAAGAAAGAGTCAAAAGAGTAAAATTAAAGGAGAGCTCGATTAATTTGGCCTCATTCAAATTATAATCAAGCACTATTAAATCACAGAAAGATGGAAGTCTGTTTACGGTTTCCAGGGTCGAGATAAGCCGCAGAGACCAAAAAACCAGGCCCTACAAAACCCAAGATCTTCTTCCATCTTGGTGTCTCTTGTATATGAACCAGAGCCGCCATATCTCTCCAGCTCTCTGTCTCTACTCCAAGGACTGCAACAATTATGGGTTTCTCTCTTCCAACATGTATAAACATGCTATGAACACTAACGCCATTTTATAGATGATTACACAAGGTTACGAAAGTGTATGCGCCCCACCCCCACTCCACAGTACGTTGTCTTGTCATAACGCATCCAAACAAAACATAATTCTGGTGGTTAGCAACAAACCATGGGTCTTTGTCGAATTGGGTCCGTTTCTCCTACCGCTCTTCTGGCTTCTGGCCGGGATCGTATTCCGCATTTATTACACCAGAGCAGGCACAATTTGGACTTAAGCCTGGGTTCAGCCAGGTTGATACGTTCAATCCGATCCAACTGCCAGGATAATCTTGTGATAATGTGCGTCGGGTATCTCTCGTCGGCTTTTGAATTAATTAAAATGCTTGCACAGCATTGTGTCGACTCGTAGGCACATACGTCTTAGCGTTCTTCTCCCAACCTATAGCTAATCAGATAGTCGCGTACCCATCTGAAGTAAATTGCATTGCATTGATTATTATCAATGATGGTACAGGACATCTCCCCTTCAGTCTTTTTCGGTAAAATACAGAACCAGCAGAGGCTGAATATCCCCATCAAATCACTCTGCTCAGCAAAACTGCTATGGTAATTAAACTGCGGCTGCAGTTGCATGGGGTGGGTAGAAACTCCTTGTTGCGTAGTCCGGGGGTTCTAAATTGTTCGTGTAATCGCTCTCTGATGGATGCACCAGCACCGACCATGGCGCAAGCGCAATTAATCGAATAGAACTCGTATATGCCGGGGAGAAACTTTCAGGCTTTCAGCTTCAGCTGATGAACGTATCACATCCCAAATACCTCCGTGACCGTGTCAAAGAAATACGATCGAGCTCAACCGCCATTATCATATATGGAGTGCGCACTAGCAGCAGACAAGGACACCACCATACATTATCCTTCACTGCTAGTAGCTTTGTCGTTTCATGTAGTAGTAGGAGTAGTAAATATTGAGGTATTCCAGTTATCATTTGGATCCGGAAAGAGAAGCTATTCATTCATTTTCTGCAATAATATAATACGTCGATGTTACTGGGTGTCTGTACAATTCGCCTTCCTTATCCATACACCCTATTAATTAAATTTCATATCACGGGGAAGCTAGGCACCATGTGAATGTGTGAATGGGTGAACTGAAGATTGCAAAAGAAGAGCTAGACATGCCAGCCTTATTCGTGACACCTGGACGTGTGGGATAGTGGCAGCTGAGCGATGTATACGTACGATACCCGATTCAACTTATCATTTATAGAACCCAGCAGCAAGGCAGTGGCCGTCATCGCTACTTTGGCTTTCATCGTCGTCGGTGGCTGTTTCCCGATTATATTTCACCGGCGTTCGTGGTTCCGGGTGGTCTACAGATCCGGCGATTCGTAGACTAAAGAAAAGTGACAGGTGTCTATATTGCTTATGCATCACTTAGGCTGTGTTTGAGGGAAGAAAACGTAGAGATAGGAAAGGAAAATACAATCCTTAGGATCCATGTCTAAGGTTGGTCTTGGGTTAGGCCTTAAATTGAACCAACCTATCTAATTTATACCCTTGATCAATGGAGTCTAAGGGGTCAAAAGTGATTTAAGAGGAAAGAATTGATTTGATGGAGGAAGGAATTGAACCAACCTATCCAATTTATACCCTTAATCGGAGAGAAGAGTGTTCTAAAAATGACTTTATCAAAGAGAGTAATGGATTTTTATTGTGATTTATTATATTTTTTAATAATTTAATTTGAAAATAAATAATAAGAAAAAAATGAAAAGAGAAAGAGGTTCCTTTACAGGCCTAACATGGAAATATTCTTATCAGCTACTGAATTACAGTTTATTATTCACTCAAAGTAACCTATGAACCATTGTGGCTATTTTTGCTTTCAATAAATAAATAAATAAATATACAGAGGAAAATTAATTATTGTTTATGTTTTCTTAAAGAAAAGTTTTCACCAATGTTCAAAATATCGATATGCCCCGACTGGCATATCGGGCTGTATCAGCCCTCGCTGCTCTTTTTTTCTTTGTGAACCTGGCTCAGAGGGGTTGATCTAAGGCCCTTCTACCCCTTGAACCAAGTTAAACCCCGAAACACCCCCTGTAGGGGCATATCGGGAGGCTCCCAATACGACACGTATCAGTTGATACAATCTGATACATGTTGAAATTTCGAACCATGGTTTTCACTTTGCAATCAAACTCCGATTAAAATACCCATTATATTTACTAGTGCAAAGGCATGTGTTGCTCATATGTGCAAATAAAGGTTTATGTTATAATTTAACATTACATGATTAAATTTAACTTTTATGACCTTCACGAAAACCATGGCAAATATTTGATTTATATAGTAATAATGTAAGAATATGCATATGTGGAATAAATATTAACCACATATGAATATATAATATATAGTATTTGAATTTAACTTCTACGAAACATTTGTATAAATAGGAATTTTATTGGCAAAGTATTTCTCTTTGTAAAGCTGATTTTGAATATACTCTAAATAAGAGTAACAATACCAATACCAATAAAATGAGTGATAAGCTTTCTTCTTTTCTTGCTTGTATGACCAATATCATTAAAAACCTATATTTTTAAAAGTGACAAAAAAAAAACAAAATCAGTTTTTCAGGTGACAGGTAAGCATTTCAACCATTTGAGTCAAACAGGTGAAACCATGATGTCATAATTAAATACTATAAATTTAAATTTAAATAGATAAAAATAAAAATATATATAAAAAATTTTCAACACATATATGATGATGTGTATTGATCTTATAAAACAAATATATATATGTATATATATAATAAATAAGGAGTATTTTATTTCATGAAAGCAATTTCTTGTACATGTTAAAAGGAAAAGGAAAATCAAGTAAATGAAAGTGAAAGTGTTGAAACAAGTGAAGGGTAACTCACCTCAATAGTAAATAAAAAACCACAATGCCCGATGTCCGTTTTTTTTTTTTTTTTTTTTTTGGAGGGTGCTAGGGCTTTCGATGGCTTTGCCGCTGGTGGCAAATGAAACACATATATATTATGGCATGGACCTGGTTTTGGTTTCAGGACATCGGGCTCACCACTTTCCGGTATCGCACTCGCTAGTCGCCACCCTGGCACTCACTAGTAAGAGTGATGCAATGAAGAATTGAAGATAAACCATTTAGCCCATTCTTGCCATAATACATAATTAGGGCTCCAGCCCTAGTCATATACGTTACATTTAAGTGCGATGTAAATCAAGAACCAATGTAAAATTTACATCAGTTTGATTATTAAGGCATTTGGAAAGATGGTGTAATTATTATCGACGTAAATCTCCACTTGGTTCAGTTTTACATGCATTTGGATAGAAAGGAATTTTACGTCAATAACTGATGTAAAACCTCATCAGATTTAAAAGACTAATTCGATTTTATCGATGTAAAACTTTACACTCTTCCATCCATCGTTACTTTTAAAAAGCAACAATCACTTTTATGGATCGATGTAAAATAACATTTTACACTGATTCCAAACACAGCCATAATGACTATCAATCGGTTGAGAAACTATGCAGTTTTACAATAAAAATAGTCAAATAGAAGTGGCTGCTCTGCCATACTATCCACAAACTGTTCCCACATTCGTAACCATAGAACACCACCACGGTATTGAAAACATTTTTCAAAGGGTAATATTTCTGGTACGCTGCTGTAATGTCACATGAATACGAAAGTGGGAACAGCTTGTGGGTAGCAGATCCGGGCCCCTGCTCCACTACCTACTGCTAAACGCTTTTGCTAAGCCATTTAGGTAGACGGTCCCATAGCCTGTTTGTGCCTTTGTGAGTTTCCTGCACGTGACACGTTATCATGTATGTAAGATAATAAAAATATATATTTACAATCCGGCAAAAAGATAAATAAGAGATGGAGCCTTAGTAACGTGTTGTGTGGAAAAGCTCCCAAACGGCCAACAACGAGACAGAATGGAATGTTGGTACATGAATCTTTTTGAATTAAACGTTCTTTGCTTTGCAGCATCAGAAACTCTATCTTCAATAACCACATCCCGTGCTAAGCTTAATATAAAACCCACCCATGTTCAATAAAGGTAACATTAAACTGTCGACGTTTTTTCACATAAATATAAATTCCCAACAATGAAAACAATATATTTCGCATTTTTTCCTGCTTACCAGAGTTGATGCTCTGGAAGTCTGGATCAGTATTACCTCTACTTCTGTATGGCGTTTGAGAATACCAAGGTCCAGGTGTAGGATGGAGATAAAAAGAAAATGAAAGAAATAAAAAAAAGACAACCCCCCCCCACCTTGAAAAGTTCATTATTGCATCAAGGAAAGAGGCTGAAAAGAACTTTTGCTGTTTCTCTGACAAACGAATTGGAGCAGTCACGATTATTGGGGTTGGGTGGTCCAAACTCCAAACATCGCTCTCTCTCTCTCTCAAGTCCCAAACTGAAAAATAGATTCCCAATTAGAATTAGAATGGCACTTGTAGTTTTTTTCACGCTCACCATATGGTAGACAGATCTACACCTATGTCCCAAATATAGAAGGAAATATCATCCTTACAAGAAAAAAAAAAGGAAGGAAAACATTCCACTTCATCATATAATCAAATGCAGCTTGAATTTTGGCCTTCCCATGGGCTATGGATCCCTCAAAATCAACCATTACCATTGTAGGCTTGAGCTTGATGTCTCATTGCCTCTCCACCCTCTGCACGACAAGGAGAAACAGACAGTGCACATTCACAACAATACCAGGCAGTCCTTGTGCTGGAATGCAACATGGAGCACAGTTGATCTGATCGTAAATTTGTAATCGCAACTCATACGAGTTCCCATTCCCATCTGGATTAGCTTGCCCACCCTCTGGATGGACAATGAGGATCCTTTGTAAGGCGAACCAATAGGCAGATACAAAATTGAATTTAGAAAAGAAATGCACCTACGAGAGAGCTCTTCTTTTTCATCCTCATTTAGTATTAAGGTTTGGGACTTGTATCTGTAGTGCAATACTAGGCATAGGAAAATTATGCATAGTAGTTTGGCTTCCTCTCATATTACACGTTTGGAAGTTGAGAAACGCCAACCCTCACGGGTTCACAAAAGTCACGGGTTGAAATAAGAACAAATCTCATCTTCCACTCTTTCAACCTGTAAATTCAACAATTAAGGCAAGAAATCATAAGAACCTTAAAAAAACAGCAAAATGTACTATACCCAGAAAATGGTATTGGAACAGAAAATTATGTTTTGATTTCAAGACAGCTGATCCCTCACTACAGAACAGGTCTCCACTAATTAAGCCTCACCAATTGATGAAACTGCATAAAAAAAAATCATTTACACTTGCTTCCTTACAATATATCTGGATAGGGAAGATTGAATTGGCCCCAAGATATCAAACCGGAGTAATAAATTTTACTCATAGTGAGACAAAGACAAAATTAAGCCACTCCACCATAAAGACAACCCAACAGGATAGCAAACATTAATAAGAAGTACAACAAATTGGTGAAGTGAAGGAAATGCTGCAGATATACTAAACTACTTATTTGAAGATGATGTGTACCCTCAAAATAAACTTTATCGAATTAGCTCTTCAACCTCGCTTTGCTGCATGAGCCCCTCCTGAAGAAGAAACAATTTCAATGAGAAAGATGTTGAATCATGCCAAAAATGTAGTTCTCCTATATTTCTAAATCAAAAAAGAAGGAACAAATAAAGGAGAAAAGAGGGAATAAAATCATAATTCATACTTAAATAGAAGCTCTCTACCATTTACATTCAAGATGCTTAGTTACAGCACAGTGAAGTCTTCAGTCTCATCAGCAGCAATGGGAAGACTCCCTTAACATGGAAGATAACTCAGACCAGAGCTAGCAAATTAAATCAAGGTCTATTCAAATAACTACAAGCACCGAGTCCAAACCTCTAAATTCTAAAAACTTCATTGATAAGAATAACATAGATCGAAACAGCATAGCACAAGTCATAAAAGAATTACAGACATTCTATTGCAAATTTCTTCTTCCAAGGGTTTCAAAACTAAAAAGCTATCATTAAACAGTCCAGTTTTTAAATTGCACATCTGAACTCTGGAACTACTAATCTGTCTTTTTCATCATTAAGGAAAGCAGTTGAACGTACTGAAGAGCTAAGACACAACAGAGCCATGAGGGATCAGCCAAAGAAAAAGATAGGGAAAATGGCATACTGCTAATAGCCTAATACTACCATTTTTTTTATCAGTTACTGCTAATGCTACCATCTTTACCTCTGCATACCATGAAGGATTGTAATGAAGTAAAAAATACACAATTGACGGAGTTCAAAATTATTGCACATATGCAAACTTGCGGACTAACACATGTTTGTGATTACAAAATAAAATACCCATGAGAACAATGCAAGCAATAACCACCAGAATTATCAAATTATTCTGAAAAAGAAAATTGTTATCAAAACAAAATTTTTACCACAAAGAACGCTCCAAACCAAATTGCATTTATAGAAAATGATACCCAAGAATCATATACTCAGTAAAATATGGAAGCAGAAGCCAAATTAGAGAAGAACCGTTTAAGATTTGACCTTTTTTTTATTTGCACTTGAAGAGCTGACCACAGTACCAGTATTTCCCTGTCCGCAACCTGGAAGCTCCTTCAATCCCAAATTAGAATTTCCCATGCACTGAAGATTATCCATTTCACACGCACTAAGCCCTTGGTCATTTAATACTGCACTTTCTCCAACCTTGCCTTCCACCCCTGGATGAAGGCAATAAACTTGGTCATCACAACGCAGATCACATGGATTCATGACATAAGCGCCAGGCAAGCTTGCATGAACCAAGTTTTGAACCCCGTCGCTACTTTTTGGTAGTTTCTGATAAGGAAAAGATCCAATCTCCCCTTCAATCCTCCCTCTGATGTCTACAAGCAAACACTTGAGCCTAGCTATTTCAGCCTCCAATGCAGCTTGACCCTGCAACCTCTTCAGCAATTGCTGGTTCAGAGCTCTCAATTTGACAACTTCGTCCTCTAATGAAGCAGCTCGGGCCTTCTTCTTCTCACGGTACTTACGAACAGCTTCTCTATTACCCAATGGCCGTTTCTTAGCCTTCTTTTCCACAGACTCTGCTGTATCATCAGTAGCTATCTTATCTTCAGAGGGAGCAGACAGGATTTTGGTGTGAACATGAAAACAAGTGTGTGTATGGGTGAAATCAGGGCCAGGTGGATTGCAAGTGTGGGTATGGGTACAAGCATGAGTGTCGTTGAGGAGTTCATCGAAGAAGCTATCCATGGAGCAACTGCTCGGGGGCTGATCGCCCATGTTCGGGCTAGAGAACATTTCTTGGTTAGAGAAATCGAGCTCACCATCGTCCATGGCAACGAATCAGTCCCAGAAGAAACAAGTAACGGACCAAAGCCTAGTAAACGAGTTCAGATTTTTAAAATTTCGACCATGACCGAGATGAAATTCTGCGACTTCAATTAGAACTCTTTGGAGAAGTTAGATTTCCCAATGGAAGTTCACAAAGAAAAAAAAGAAAAAGAAATGGCATGCAAAACCTCACAACAACTACGAGGTACCTAGACGTAAATGATTTTGACCACAATCGATATGGAAATGCGAGGTTCTGATGAAAATCAAAGCAAGAGAAGATAAAAGTCAATTCTCAAATGGATTTCGCTCAACCGAAGCGGAGATCAAAAAGAACTACAGTAACAAGAGGGAACCTAGCATTTAGATCAAAATCCAGTAAGTCTTTCGGAATTCAATGGCGAAGAAGATTGACAATCAAGAGAACTGAACTTATTATTGGGTTTGCACCTACAAATCCAAGTATAAAAGAGAATCATTAGAACAATATTTCACCAAGCAATTGAGAAACCTAGAGTTCTAAAGAGAACCCTTATATGTGGTCTCTCGTCTCAGTTCTGAAACTTGGTCGTAACGATCAAAGAGGGTGGAAGATGGAAGATTTTACCCATAGTCCGGAAATCTAAGCAAGCATTCGAGAGATGGGAGCAGATAAGAGTCTGGTCATGGAAAGACGGAACCCTAAAATGCCCCGAGCCACCACAACACAAAGAAAGGCATGAAAGAAAGCTCAAAGAAGCGGGTGCCGGGTGGGGCGATTGGTTCAGATTTCAAAGGTCAAAGCACTGATTCTGAAATGTGAAACGTCTCCACCCATTAATTACAGGATTTATATAACGTTGCCTATATGAACCGATGATGTCATCATCGGAAGCTATTCCCAATACACGGCGGGGATGCGCTGTGGGGCGGAGATGTGATCTCACCGCGCTGTAAAATTAAGATGGAGGGACATTGAATGCTTCCCCTCTTATCGATCTTTATAGTGTTGAGGTCTCAGATGCTGACGATCTTGGCATCAAGCGGTGGATCCGTCGAGAGGAAATAAACCAAATACATAAAAACAAACTATCCGTACCAAATGTATATAGTCCAACATTGGCTCAAGATAGATATGATGATCACTTCAGTTCTGATATTTTGGAGCAACACTCATCACTCTTTTTGACAATTTTGGCTTTGACACTTCGCCTCTCTCGCAACGGACCGTCGCACAGGAATCAGTATCAGATAAGTGGGTCCTATAGCGCCAGCAGTTCAGTTCCACCATTAATTTATAGCTCCTTCACCACTGGATAATTTAATTTGACGTTCCGGAGCTACGTTTTTATACGTTGACACGTGTCCTCCCAGAGTCCCACAGCCTCTGGTATAAAGATTCGCTATGGCCGCGTTATATTTTGCCTCATCAATCACTTCCACCGTCAATTGCTTTTTGGACGATTGCAGGGAGCAGGGGCGGGCCCAAGAAGACTCAAGAAATTGTCCTGATCTGCAACGTGTTTATCGATCAGTGTGACCACGTCCGCTTGATCATTATCGCATAAACGATGCCAATCAATCAGAATGTGTAAAAGTCATCCCATCTTTGGCATAATCGTAAATTCATACGTATTCAGCCTCTTGGCTCAAAAAAGCATCTCAGTACCCAGTAGGCCCATCCAGGCCCAAGAAAAATTATAAAACAAAAATAAGAAGAAAGTCAGGCCCACTCTGCCATTCAGAGTGGAACCCTAGCTGACAGAAGCCCACCAGGCGTCGTGTAGTACGGAGAAGATGCTCTTTTCGGTCTCGTTTGCTGTGCTCCACGCATCTTGTGTTTTGTTTTAATCGTTTTTTCAGGGTGACGATCATGAGACCCACAAGTGGCCTGTTCTGCCTTTTGCAATGCTTAAACTTGTTTTCCCAACAACCACCATCGTCGGCTCGTCGCAGATGTAATTATGTAAACTTTAAACAATAAATAAATAATGCGGTGTCGGATGTTGTTAAAACATATTTTGTATGTATTTATAGTATACATTTTTATATTTATATTCCTTTTAAAGAATATAAATAGATATAAAATAATATAAAATACAAGGTTTTGCATTTGTATTCCTTTTAAATTGAGCCTTAAGATTTTTTTCTTGGGAATTACATCCATTCATCCAGACCAATCCAATCCAAAATTGAACAAATCAAACCGGTCGACCAGACCCTAGCTTAGACAACAAGGCGCACTTTGTCTGGTTGTTGTGATTTGTGAAAATTGACCAGCCTATATACGGATTACAAAGCAGGCCACAATTTCATAAACAAATAATTCAAGCATGATGCCTTGTACTATAAAGTGCAAATTCTCGGTATGTAGACTGGTCCACTAGTCACTAGACTAAAAACTATTAAATTAGGGCTATTTATCAGAACACTTCCCCTAGTTTTGTGGATTTATTTGGTATCCTATAATTTTTATTTTACTAAAACATCCCCTATAGTTTAAGGCTTATTAAATTAATGAATCTTTCATTAAGAAATGTTTGTTTTGCCACTTGAGAAGGGTAATGTAGTCACCTAAAAGTCCTAAATTGATTGGAAATTTTTCAAGGGCATGAACTATGATTGTTTTATTACAAAAGCATCCCTAACACTTCTTTGTAAAAAAACAAAGTTGACCAAATAGAGTTAAATAAAGTGTTTGTCCATGTCTTGTAAGGGTCAATAATGGTATTTTCAATTTTATTTTCTTTTGATTAAATTTATTTAAATGGACATTAGAGTCGAAACTGTCATTCTCTACTATCATCTAATAAAAAATTGATTAAGTAAATCGATTACAATTTATAAGGGTATTTTAATAAAATACAAACTATAAGGTAGATTTTAATAAATCCAAAGTGTTTTAATAATTGACCCTAAAAATTAAAGCTACACCAAGAAGTGTGCTATAATGCAAAACTTTATATATGGTATTTTAAATGTTACGTTTATTATTTTTACTGTACATTCCGAACAATGTACCATACCACTTTGCCCTCTTGTTGGAATTAGATTCTAAAAGACTGTCCTTTTGCATCGTAGAATAATTAGGTCTGAAAAGTGAAAACTTGACCTAAAATAAAATTTATTACATAAAGAGCAACATGCAGTTAAAGCTCCTCGAATTAACAACTTTTATTTTAAGAAATTATTTTTTTAATCTAGTCAAATTAGGAAACTTTTATTTGGATGGTTCTCCCTACTCATGACAGTTGGATGCTTTTTTTTATTATTATTATTATAATTATACATTATAGGAATTGGGAGGGGTGGGAACAGATCTATCGACCTTTACCACATAGAACGGGTTTGATCCCACACCTCTATATCCAAGTGGACACCAAGTGGCCAACTCAGTAATTGGGTCATAACTACTTGTTCAATTTTTCAACTTGGTTATATCTTTTGAAGGGCGTAGCCCATCCCTCATCCCATAACCCCCTAACCTAAGAGCAGGTGGAATTCGACCCCAAGTCTCCGCTAACGATTAATATGAGACTTTACCAACAAGCTGCTTGATATCTTTGCAAGTGTAACGTATTGCAATATATACAAAGCAATATTGTCCATACCAATGGGCCTCTCCTTACTTTACCCCATTCTCTCTCTCTCTCTCCTTCCTCTCCTATCCCTTCAAAGTGCTCCCATTAAACTAAGTCTTTACTTCTCTATCTCTCTCCAAATAATAATGTTTAAGATTCCCTATCTTTTTACTTTCCTGATCTTTCGTATTTTTCCTATATTTGCCTTCCACACACCATGTTCGGTTACTGCCATATGACCCGCATTTTCCTTCACAAGATAAACATATTGATCCAATGCAACTACCCTTTAATTGAATGTTTTAGATCGAACTAAATAGGAAAGGAGATTGAATGAGAGAGGTCTTGACCTTCCTCAATGTGGTCTTCATTGCAATGAGCGATGTTGCAAGTAATTTGGTGGGGCCTCGGGTGTTCGTATGATGGAGAAGAGAAGAAGATGATAGGTCAATAGAGAGATGACTAGGTCCGTCAACGAGAGATCGCAACCAACTGCTGTAGTGCTGTTATCTCCGGAGGTGTTCGATAATGGAGAAGAAAATGAAGAAGCCTAGGTCTGATTTAATTACAGAAGTATCATCGGTTTCTGGAAAACCAATAACTAAAATCAAACCGAAGCTGATTGGTTAACTGGTTGACTGGTTTGGTTTATTGGTTCTTCAATTTTTTATATTTATAATATATATTATAAAATATATAATAAAAAACTAGAAATACATATAAAATATTATATTTTAAATAATAAATAATATATTATATATTTATATATAATGCATATTTATTAATTTATAATATATGGATAATATAAAATATATTTGAATATATATAATGCATAAATACACATACAATATATAAAAATATATGTATACCGGTCAATTTGATTAATTGTCGGTTTTTCAGTTTGGTTAATTGAAACCGAACTAATACCTTTGGTTTGATCTTGTCGGTTCAGTTTAGTTTTTCTTGCTCACCCCTATACTCAATCAGACTCATCCTGTTTTCTAGTAATTGATTAAAATCTCTCTATATTCTCTGTTTTGTTTCCCTGGATTTCATGTAAAAGCTTAAAGCCTCAAGATCATGGTGGAGTTGTAATTTCTCTTTCTCCCCCCTTCTCTATGTACACCAATTTCAAATTTGAATCAAATTGATTATTCAATTACTTAAAATGAATTCAAACTCAGTCGTTGTTTGCTACTATTTTGATAGATATGAAATTGGACTTGAATAAGAATTTATCTAATCAAATTCGAATTTGAATATGCATTGATTCGATTCGAATTTGCTCCATGTACAACCCTACTCAAATGGAACGCAACACCATATGGTTCCAGACACCAACAAGTTTGAAAAAAAAAAAAAAAAAATTTGTGGATAGAATGAAGAGTCCAACTACTATGTATTTCAAAATTTTTAATTTTAATCAATTATGTTAAAGATGTCATATGGTCTAGTTACTTTTCATTGGTTTATGTTTCTCAATATGTAATTTCACACTTCAAAAGGTATACTCATCATTAAAAACTTTAACAATGTCAAAGATGTCACGTCACTTTATCACCGGTTTGTTCAAATTTGAATTATGTTGTATCCATTTTCATAAAATGCACCATATATTGAATGGATCAAAGATTTGATGATTGTCTATACTCCATACAGTGTTCAATTTAATAACCACTACAACATTTTATACATTGAGAAGGAGATGAAACCAAGAGGGAAAAGTTGAAAAGTATATGTTAGCAAAAGAAAAGAAGGGACTCAATGAGCTCATTCATTAAAATAACTATTCAATGAAGTGATAAACACTTAAACATACCCTCAAGTTTTTGATAGGACTTAATTAAGCATACTTTGTTGCCATTATGATAGATGGCAATAGTGAAAGATAAAAAACCTAAGTTTCTAGTATCTAGAAGCATTGCCTTCATAACTTTTTTCTGCAATTTTCTATTTGTTAATCATCACTAGGATTAGAGTGCATTATTTTCAATTGGCTATCCTCAAGGCTCAATCCATATCACTATTGCGGAAGTTAGGTTTTTATTTTCTAAGTATATGCTATAATTTATGAAAGAAGTATAACTAAAGAGTTCTATCAATGACATTAAATTTTGCTTACATTTCATTAGTTCATATTTCACAAAGTGTGTTTCCAGGTTTAACAATGCAGTACTTATTGATGAGGGCGGATTTGGCCCTCCAATGACATTGTGATACATGGCATCTCAGAATAGTTAAATGACACATATACACCACCTAAGTGATGATTTGGAGTCCTAGATCGTGGCTCGTCTTTACCCCGACCTGGCGACCTG